AATAGCATCAGCAGGTCAGACAGATGAAGATACACCAACACCAGACCTCAAACTCTACTGTAAGAGCGTTTCAGGGAAATAAAGGACCGTGTGAAAGCAGAGCAAGCTGTTGGGATGTTTGTAGGGAAGAGGAAGGAGTTATGCAACGAACCAGAAGCTCAAACTAGAAGAGAAATACAGACTGACAGGAAGTTCAGATGAGATGCATAATATATGCCAACCGTATTAGTAATGGGCAGCATTTGTGGACTAGTTCATGCACACTTAATATTGGTTATCAGACGCATCACTTCCTGTCAGTCTGTCTCGTCTAAAGGGAAGTCGTTTCCCTTGGCAACCCAGCGGAGAAGTGTCAGGAAAGGAGGTTTCGTAAATGGCTTTTCACAGCGCAGCTCATCTCCATAACCGCTTAGCTGTGAGTTAATGTGAAGGAACGGAAGAAAACAGAAGGATGGAGTGAGTTGTCGAATGCGACAGGAACAGACGTGAGTCCAGGGTCCTTCACAGAGTTGAGCTGATGATTTCTGGACACTGTTAATAACATCGGTGCAGGAAGAGAAGCTCTATCCACCACATTACTGATATAATGTCGATCACCACAATAAAACATTTCGATTTGTCCCCAAGTAAAAAAAAAAATTATTTAAATAATAATTATAATCTAATTACAACGTATAATAATTATTATAAAATTACTATAAACAAAATATATAAATAGTGCTTTTATAATAAAATGATAATATAGTAATATGTAATCAAATATTTTGATTTGTCCCTAAGTAAAATAAATAACAAATAAATAATAATTATAATTAAATGTAATTATAATTACAACATATAATAATAATAATAATTAATATTAATATTATAAATACTATTTAAATAATAATTATAATTTTATTAGAATATATTATTATTATTATAAATACATAATTATAATAAAATAATACAGTAATATATGTAACAACATATGTAAATATTTATAATTATATCTAATTACAATATATAATAATTTAATATAATAATATATAAAATTATATAAAATAATGTAGTATAACAATAATAATATAAATAACAATACACGGTATATTTATATATAGTATATATATACAGTGCTTATATAATAATGATGTATAATTATAATGAAAATAATAATTTTGTCAATAACTTTTTTGTATATTAAAATTATCAGGACAAATTTAAACATGCAACGTTATAAAAAATTATAAAATATTTGCATATTGTTTATGCATATTTAAGTACATATAAAATAATATGCATATAAATATTGTTGTTGCAAGGACATTTTCCACGTAGATACACATAATCAGAAGATCATCCGTCACATTTGGGCTTTTACATCTCATAAATGGCCTTAATGTACTAACGTAACGTACAAGCTGATTTGCTGTGGTAATGAACAATCACTAAAGCTGTAGAAAGAGCTTTACCTCTGAACCACACATATTCCTTCAGGAAAAAGCAAAAGCAAAGCCTCATACTGAGAAGAAATCCCCTAGACGCTGTTACTGTGAGATTCGGAAGCGTTTACATCTCATTAATAATTAACAAGCTTATCAAGAAGCTCCGCCCACATCAAGTACCTCTGGGCCCGAGGGAGAGGGGAGGGGTGTGCGAGACGAGGGGTGGGTGGGGCTCTAGAACTGAACCCGCCCCACAGACTTCTGCCTCCTGACCTCTTGACCTCTAGGGTCGACCCCCACCTCTGTGGCGCCCCCTAGC